ACATGAGAGGTTAAGCTTTATTGGCTCCTCCTGGCGGTTTTACAAGGTTATTCCGGATATTTTCCTGTATGACGTCAAATTACACGTCGATACACCGCGTGATACCGTGTGACACTGCGTTTTGATGCGACACGCCCACCGTGGTATACCGCGAAATACCCCACCCATTTTGAATGGCTGCATCTGTATAAACAGAGTTTGAAACAATAGATGAGAGTGCAGGACCCTAGTGGGTCGGTTTTGCTTTTCTTGAGATAGAAGGTCAGTGTATCGGAAGATAAGATGGAGATGTCGGATAAGCAGGGTTGAGAAGAAGGTCGAAGGATGTGGAAGCAGCGGTAATTTCAGAGCATCTTAGGAAGCCAAAGAAGGCTAACAAGAATAAAGATTTAAGAGTGCGGTCGACCCAGGGTGAGTGGTAACCCGACCTGAGAACATAGTTGCATGATTCGAGGATGTCTGAGGTAAGTGGTGCGCGTTGGTTCGGAAGTGGTTTTTCAAGCCATTGAAAGCCTTTAAGCAGGAGAGTAATTTAAGTGTGGATAAGGGAGGGACAGGTCTTGCCAAAAAGGAGTTTATGGAAGAAGTGGATACCGCACAGGTATACTTTGGTGGTGGATGCGTGTACCTTGAGTGAGTTTCTAAAATAGCAAACAAAGGATGATACGGTGAGAATATCGAAAGAAGGAAATTTTACGTTTGCAGAGAGGTGGAAGGATTGGAAGCCCTTCCAGGCAGTCCAGTAAGAGTTGAGAGTTCGAGGGGGGATCCCTAAGAGGATAGTTTGCTGGGCCAGCTGGACATAGTGATTGGAAGGATGATTCAGAGGAAAGTGAGTTCCGAATAGGGAGGTACTGTGCATGGGTTCGTTCTTTCATCTGGTGCCAAGTTCCTGAATTTCTGAAATTGAAAGCGAGAGAGAGTCAACTATCTCATTAAGGTGGCCTGGAATGTGAGCAGCTACGAGGATGAATTGATGTGTGAGAGAAATCCATTTAAGGCAGCGGAGAAATTTCATGATAGATCGGGATGAAGACGTTCTTTGTTGATTATATGGACTACTGCGTAGTCGTCCGAATGGATAAGGACGGATTTTTGTTTCCAATTGTGGCCCCAAAGAGAAGCGGCAACGACAATTGGAAATATTTCGAACAAGGCCGATGACTGGTCGGCGAGTGGGATTGAAGAGAATTCAGGAGGCCAAGGGGCCGCAAACCATTGGCCCTTGTAATAGCCTCTGAAAACGACTGAGGGGGCTGCGTCTGTGAAAAGCTGGATAAATCTCGCGCCGTCGGAGAGGAGGTCATCGTAGAAGAGAGATATGCCATTCCAGTTGGCCAAGAAAAGCTGCTAAAGCCTGAGCTCAGATTTGCAGTCGGCTGAAAGGCTTACGTGGTGGTAAAGAGAGGGCACGGAAGAGGCGAGGTTGAGAAGATAGGAGATGAACAACCGTCCTTGAGGAATGATACGCATGGCATAATTGAGTTGGCTGTGCAGAGAGAGAAGTTCCCTGTTTGTGCAAGATTTGGCGGAAGAATAGGTAAAGATATATGTCTGGATCCTGTCGATCTTGTCGCAAGGCAGGGAGGCGGAGAAATTGATGGAATTGAGGGTGATCCCCAGGAATTGGATTATATGAGAGGGGCCGGTTGTTTAGTCTGTGGTGGGACATACCCCTAGTTTCCTAAAAACGGAAATAAGTGTGGAGGAGGCTCTTGCAGGTGGGGCATGGGGAAAATCTATGGTAAGGAAATCGTCGAGAAGGTGGACGAGAAAAGGAAGCATATAGTTATTCAAGAGGATCCAGCAGAGAGCTTCGGCTAAGGTATCGAAAATTTTTGGGCTACTCCTACATCCGAAAGTAAGGCAGACTGCGAAGAAGAACTTGTTCCGCCAATGAACTCTGAAGAGGTGCTAGAAGTCTGGGTCAAGAGGCATAACTTTAAAGGTGCTGGAGATGTCAGCCTTAGCGAGCCAGGTACCCGGACCTACGATTTTGATGAGAGAAATGGCGTGGTCAATTGTGGCGTAGTGTAGGGAGAAGTCTGAACTAGTTATAAGGCTATTGAGACTTGGCACAAGGGAGTTATGGGGGGCTGACAAGTTGATTATAAAGCGTTTTTTACCGGAATACTTACGGACCGCTATACCGATGGGATTGATGCGGTATGCAGGGAATGGGGGAGAGTCACGTAGGCCGATCACGAAACCGTTCTTAACTTCAGATGCTAACAAGGAATCGACGGACTGGGGATCAGCGGTGGCAGATTGCAAATTTTTACAAAAGATGGAGGAAGAAGGAAGTGTGCACAGGCCTGATGAGAATCCGAAGGAAAGGCTGTTGAGTAAGATGTGGGTGGAAGAGGGGTCGGGGTGACGGAGCAGTTCGGAAGCAAGAGCGGGGATATTGATTGGGGTAGACAGAAAAGCCAGTAGTCGCTGAAGGTGGAGCGAGCATGGAAGGGCCGGCGGGGGCAAGCAGAGCGAGCGTGAGCTTCTCCGCAGAAGCTGCAAATGTGAAGGAAGCAACAAAGGGAAGAGGTACATGTCGAGGAATTGAAGTTGTTGCAAATTTGTTGGCCTCTGATCATCACGATGGGGCAACCGCAAACGTCTCTGGACCGGGAAGGTTTGAAGAAGACCTGGTGGGAGAATTAATGCTGTGGGGGTGAAGGGGCGGAGTCAGGGTTGAGCTTGCGGACGGTATTTGGGCAAAGATTTGATTTATGTGTCCAAGAGGAACAGAAGTCTCAGGAAAGGGCTCTGACGCCTGATGCGGCAGTAAAGCTCATTGTCGAGGGCTCCCCAGTAGGTGCACTGGTTCCATTGGAGTAGGCAGCCAACGGCCTTGGCCGAGAACTGCTTGTGGTAATCGTAGAACAGAGAGCCCTTGAAACGGACAGATAGATCGAGGATGATGTGCATGTAATCGTCGAGTTCCTGACAACGTTCAGGAAAGGCTGAGCACATGATGTGCTGAAAGCCAAGCAGAAGTCAGAAATTCAAAGGACTGAAGCAGAGTGAGGGTCAGAAGATTTGAGAGTAACAGAAATCGAGCCGCAGTCGACTGTTCAGGAATCAGAGTTGTAAGTGGAGGAAGAGAGAAGGTGAGCTAGATTGAAGCCCACACCTCGTAGAGTTTGCTGCTGGAGTGAAAAGTGAATGGGAGGAGGACTAAACTTTAGTGCGTTAGGAGGAGCTGGGGGAGGAACGGCTGTTCGGAGAGAAAAGTCCTTAGTAAAGGGGAGATTGGAATCCAGGGTCGAAGGCTTGGGATGACTGATGCCGTGTTGGACACTGGGGATGGGAGAAGATGAGGAGGGAAGAAGAGCAGAAAGCAGATTGTGGTAGGAGAGGTTAGACGGATCTGGGGTCTGAAGCTCAGTGGCTTGGGATATGGAAGCCGAAGACTGTTGAGGAGGAATTGAAGCAAGGACGAAGGCTGCGTGAAGGACTGAGGAGGTTAGCCTTTGTCACTTATGAAACCACTAAATAAGAGGTTTAATGGGGGAGGTTAAGGGCCACCTGCTGGCTGAGCTGGGGGTCGTTTACTGGATGGCCTTTGGGCTCTAGCTTTAACTTTCACACTTGCTTTAGCACAGATGCTTCTCCGTCTCTGTACCCTTCTCTGTACATCTTCTGTACCAAACTCCCTGATAAGGAAGGAATGTTTTAATTACTCTGAGTCCTTGAGTTTCTTGAGAAAGTAATTCAAAGACTGGAGGGGGGTATGGCAATTGATGAAAGTCACTTAAGACACAAAAGAAAGGTATGAATGGTTTTCCGAATCACATCAAGGGCAGTTTGAATTTGTGCCACCGCATTAATATTTGGTAGTTCACTATTCAAATACAGTTTAAGAAATGTTGCTGTCCTTAAGTTAACGCACTATAATTTTTATAAATAATGTTTAGAAATATAAAAGTAGAATAAAGCGACACCTTTCGGCAAACATTTTTGACAGGTGCCACGCCCCCTTTTTCAGCCACTTGGAGTCCACGGTTGGCGGATGTCCCGCCTTCCCGGGCCTGAGCCTCAGGGTCCAAAAGCCTCGGCCGCCGCAGCCCTCAATTTATAAATAAGTATATGAAAGTGTGTGTTAGGGTTGGAAGAGGACCATGTGTTCCGCGGGGTTGAGTGCTCTCTATTATAACCCTAGGGAATTGGGGAGTTACGGCGGCATGGGGAGTCTGGTGAGGGCCGCGAGATCCGGGGGTGTGAGCGGCACCAGCTGCAGCCAGGTCACCGAGTGGTTGACCCAGACAGCAAGTCTCAAAAAACATCAAGGGCGTGTAAGCACTCACACACACAGTGACCGCGTAAAGTCTCACGGAAAGAACTCGTAGGACAAACAGCATGTGAAATGTGAACCACTTTATTTCATCAATAGGTTTTCAA